TTTACTAAAGCTGTCTCTAAATTTCTCGTATTTTTTATTGCCTAGGTGACCTTAGTTGATGTTGTGTATAAACAAATATTCGCCGTGTAAATTTAGAACCTTCTAAACGGAGACCATTACAAGCAGATATTTTTCCGGTTACAAGGCAACGAAAATAAACTATTTCGTCGCGTATCATTTTAGATAGATACAATTTATACAAAATAAACTTGGATTTTATTTACGGCAGTAGAAATACTGCCAAGTCTTTTGCAAAACAATGCGAAAATAACACATTACTCATATAAAATAATTCCATTACTAGAATGAACCAGAAACGTGTGTAGTAACGCCACTGGTTTGTAGTACGGTTGTTTCTACAACTGCAGGTTGAGTTGCAGTCATAAATTAGACGAGAAATAGGCCATCTCCGCTATGTGTCTTGCCAGTAAGCGAGGAGATGTTATATACGTGGGTCTTTCAAAACATAACAACAAATTTTGAAATAAATATTTGGCAAGTGACCGCATTATCTGCATCCTGCCTAAGAAACAAAGAGCCTTTTGTTTTGTTTAAAGAACGATTTGATGAGAGTTAAATTTTTTTATTTTAAAATGAGCTTACTCCATATACAGTACATCGAGGATTCGTATGTTCTTAACATCTATTAAACATATTATATTTCTTAATCAATAATTTATCTAAAATAATATGAACAATCTATTCAAATATTATTAATGAAAAAAATACGTCTGACGTATTGAACTTATTAAATAATATAACCCTTTAATATGTCAGGTATTTTAATGTGGGTGAAATATAAATGTCTATTTGCGGATCTAATTCAATGTTGGTCGGGGTTCTAGTCAGCAGAGTAGTTGTTCATTGTAGTGTAATTAATTAGTCGATTGTTTTGAAGTGGTTTCTTTTGCGTACGTAGACATTGGTGTCAAAGATGTCAGATGGCAACATCTGTTGGAAACTTTTAGATTAATTTAAATTAACTTAATACTTTTTAATGTAAAGCAAAAGTTCAACAGATAATATTAAGAAAAAATGTTAGTTTCCAAATAGAATAGAAGGAATTGCATAAAGGTTGCTTTTATACGAATAAAAAGTGCATTTATCAGATATTATTAAGTGATGGTTCTATTAAGATGAAGAAAATCTTTGTAAAGGAAGATTTGCACTTCCATTCTTCTTACTACTACTTACTACTTTTCTAAGTACCTGCGTACGTTGTTCCCTTTAAATAAACAAAATTTAGGAAGAGGACTTGTTTTTGGAATCAGGGACATGTCTAAATGTGTGCAAGTAGACAAATAAATTTATTCAGATGAGCGCAATTGTGATGTTGAAATTTGTAAGTATATTGTTCTATTCCTTAACAAGACTTTAATGGTGATTACATTAACATGTATTTATGCCTTAATCGGGTGCCTATTTATATGTTTGTGACAGTAACATAGCTGTAACAATTTTTACTCAACATTTCCTCATCCGTTTTAGGTTGATTAAAACGATTGAGCCCAAAAAAGGAGCTAAAAATTAATTTTACATTAGCTACGGTATTCTTATTTTACAAAACGTATGGGAAACAAGAACGCAGGTGTAGATACAGGAATTTAATAAAATTGAGTACCTAGTTGAGTAGTTCTTACCCAATCGGAAATACTTATATAAAATTTAATTGACAATTTAAAAAGTAGTTCAGTCTAGTTTGTCTTAAATTGATTTCATTAATTTTTTATTCTCATTTAAAACTGTTAAGCTAATTCTAATTATTTCCAAAAATTTCCCTAAATTTTCATAAAATGAAGTAAGACAGGGTGTTCCGGAAATATGAGGATACATTTTAGAATGTAATTTACAAATAAATGTAATAGTACAACTTTTTATGACATGTTTTCAAAAACTCAGTAATTCAAAATTATTTTGCATAACTAATTTTCTGTCAAGCCGTTTTTTTTTCAAATTTGGCACGTACACTTATTATTGACAACAAATTATATGCCAAGTCTTCGAAATTCAGAAACATTGAAAGGAATTAAAGGCCCTTATTGTCTAGGAAACCGAGCATAACCTTTTTACATGCAATTTTTCAAAATATTTAAACAAATTAACAACGAAAAAAGCACATTAGGTCCTCTTGTTTGAAGTCTATAAATACAACCGTTGAATCACTAGTTTAGTCACTAATACCTATGCAAAAAAATTTAATACCTATCCAACTTATTCAAATCATTAAATAATGTTGCAAAACTCAAAAAATAAAATTTTCTTCTGTTTTTGTTTCTAATAGCTACAACAAACACCAATACAAAATTCAGCCACGATTGGTGAACTAACATATTTCCATATTTTAAGGATTATCTTTTCAAGTGGCTTTTTAAAGATTAATTAATTGCAGGAATTGTTATTTTTTTCAGAAGTGTTGTTGCAGTCGCTGAGTCATTAAGTAAGAATATGAGATGTTTTTTAAGGTATAATGATTTTATTGTGTGTATGTTTTATTTCAGTAGTACTATTTGGATAGATTATCCTTTATTTTAGATAAATGTTAATGCCAGCATATCCTGAAGTTTGGTATTAAAGTGTAGGTACTTATACATATACAGGCTGTCTACTATAAGAGGGCCACTACTATGAATCTCGCTTAATATATATACAGGGTGGTCGCGACGTAATGGGCCAAAATTCATGGGTAGAATCCCCAAGTAAAAATATTGCGATTTAGCCGAACTTACCTTAGTCCAAAAGTTGACAGTTAAAGAGATACAGGGTGTTAAATGTAAAATATTATTTCAGTTTTTTTAATTTATTCCTTAACAAATGCAAATATCCTCACAAAATTTTGGAGATTGGAGTTCTTTGAGTAGAGGAATTGAAATCTGTTCACATTTTTTTTAAAGTTCATAGAGGGCGCTAGCTGCAGTAGATTGAATGAGTTAAAAACGACATAACTTTTTTGTGCTTTAAGGTATCTCATCTTTGGTTACAAATTCTTATTTTCCAACTTTTTTACACAAAAAAGGTGTACTTTATTAAAGTAGCTATCTCGCACCGTTTTCGAGATATTTGGCTTTGAAACTTCCAATGCTGTTGCATTAAATTACAATTAAGTACCTACAGGTATTATTAATTTAGTGGTAAAGTTTCTTAAGTAGGATTTGGACGCAAATCAAATAATTGACGTCTTCCACTTGTCTTATTACTGTCATTTGTATGCTAATTTCTATTAAGTATTATTCGTATCTAATTAAAATCACATCTTAGCTTACAAATTAAATTGTATACTCGTACATAAATGTGAGATAGAATGCCGAGGTTTTCGTTTTTGGAGTTACATGAAATCAGTTGTTTATGGAGAAACTATAAACACTTGAGAAGAACTTTAGTAGCAGGTTTTAAATGCTGCAAAGTCATTTCGCATTAAGGATTTATACTTTAAAATAAGACAATCTTTTAATAAACGTGTTGATAAATGTATTGAAGTTAGAGGTGGATATTTTAAGCAATTATTGTCAAAAAGGCATATTTTTTTACTAATGTTTACTATTTTACTGTTCATTACAATTTTTAATTCTAAATAAACCCTTGTTTTTGACATTTCTAAATTATTTTAATTATTTCAACTATTAGCATTGGAAGTTTCAAAGCCAAATATCTCGGAAACGGTGCGAGACAGCTACTTTCATAAAGTCTACCTTTTTTGTGTAAAAATAGTTGGAAAATAAGAATTTGTAACCAAAGATGAGATACCTTAAAGCACAAAAAAGTTATGTCGTTTTTAACACATTCAATCTACTGCAGCTAGCGCCCTCTATGAACTTTAACCAAAATGTGAACAGATTTCAATTCCTCTACTCAACGAACTCCAATCCCCAAAATTTTGTGAGGATATTTGCATTTGTTAAGGAATAAATTAAAAAAAACTGAAATAATATTTTACATTTAACACCCTGTATCTCTTTAACTATCAACTTTTGGACTAAGGTAAGTTCGGCTAAATCGCAATAATTTTACTTGGGGAATCTACCCATGAATTTTGGCCCATTTCGTCGCGACCACCTTGTATATGACGCACGTCAAAAATCTTTATGTTTGGCTAAGAATTCTTGATACTAAAATCATAGGACCTTACTTCTATGATGGTAAACTGATGGGTGCTAGATAATGCAAATTCTTAGCTTCAAAAAAGTTCATTAATTCATAAAATTTTTTGTAGTTGACCGGTTTAATACAATTTCTATACATTAATCTACATTTTTGATACCAAAATTAAAAAAATGTAATAAATATAAAAGATAAAGGCAACATGTAGTACATCTCATGAAAACAAGCAATTTTTTGTATCCACGGCCTGTTTTGATGAAATTTTTTTTTGTCCTCGTAGAGGGCGCAGCAAAGTACATACGATACTTCAAAAACTTGTTTACACTAGGTGAAAGATATCAATTTAGCCATAAAATTTTATTAAAATAAGTTTTCTCTATCTCCTAAAATAAAAAAGTTAGAGGGCCCTAAACTTTCGGTACTTTTCCGGTTTTTTATGATTTCTCATAAAGTTGGCCATGGATCTCAAATTTGTTTTTTACGAGCATCAAGGCCCCAAAAAATGCAACAAAAACATATAAAGATTTTTGACGTGCATCGTATATTAAGCGAGATACATAGGAGTGGTCCTCTTATAGTAGACAGCCTGTAAATGATGCTTTTGAAGTAAAATCAAAAAGTTTATACCTAAAAAACGTAAGTATAATTTTAAAACGCTTATACGAAATGCTTAGGCTGGAATTAAGGTATGATTCAGATTCAATTTTAGCGTATTTTTAGGTCAATTTCGAGTACCACACGGGCCCTCACGCCAGCCGACCGCGCCGCCCATGCCCTTAATACTCTTCCCGCATCTAGATTTACAATTCATGTTAGGTTATAAATATACACGCGAGGCAGTACCCCCGGTATCCTTACGCCAAACAAGTTATAAACACACCACATTGACTGCTTTCAATACTCACAATGGAGGGCAATTTGGATGAGAAAGAGAAAATGTAGAATGGGCCCCGTTTGCGATCGGTCGATCCTGCGTTCCACCACTCGCGCGCACCACAATTCCACCAAGAACGGCTTGGCTTCACTGCAACCTCAAACGCTATCAACGGCGAACTGAGCTTGGTAACCGGCGAGCAACATCGTATCTATATGTATAAAAGCATGCTGCCCGCTGATGTTTACTCTAACTCTACTTGACATAATCATTTACTGTTTATCCACTTTTAGCCGATATTATATGGATCTATTATTATTAGATGTCGTGTACTCAAGATCGCGGTGAAAACACTTGCGGTTCATCAACATGCCTACAGTTTCCATATTCAACACAGTGCACAGGGTTATCTACTACATTTTGAATAAATGGTAAATACAAAAACTCTAGGTATTTTCTTAATTTTTAAATATTATTTTTCATAGAACAATTGACCTGAATTTATGGTGTTTTAAATCGAATACCCTGTATGTTTTTCGACATTTGAAATCTACTACTGTCCCAACATTCTACATACCTGCGACAAAAATAAGTAGATACAGGAAAATCTTGCCGTTCGCGGGGGATAGGTTCCAGGAGTTTCCCGCGAAGCGCAAGTCATTGTGTTAGTGTTTAAAACAGAATTAAATATTAGAAACATAATTCAGTTATTTATATATACAGGGTGTCCCGGAAATGGTGGGCAATCTCTCGGATATGGATAATAATGAGAAAATAATGTCACAAGTTCATATAAAATTTTTTCCTCCGGGCTCACCCTGTAGAGTTATTAGCTCTTGAAGTTGAGAATTAAAAATGATTTTTTTGCTGTAACTTTTGTATTCTTCAATAAATTTTGAAAATTTTTTGGCTGGATCTATAATTTTTGAAGCTGCTTTGGATGATAATATAAAATCCTCGATAATAATTATGGGGGCCCGGGGGCAAAGCACCCCCCACCAAAATTTCTAGAAAAAAAAATTTTGTTCCGCTATACTCCAAATTTTCCATCATTTTATAAAAATTTATGGTATTCTACGTAAAAAAGTTATACTTGTTGAATATCCATAAAATAGATATTTTTTGAGATAAACCCGTTTAAAGAGGAAGGTACCATTTAATTTGAGACATTTTATTTAATTGAAACACAGATTTAATCGTGGTTGGCTTTGACATGTCAGAGTATTCCAAAGGCAGTTAAATTGTCAAACTTGTACGTAGTTTTAAATCTAAGACTCATCTCATAATTTGTTATAAAATATGGAGTATTCCAATGAAGAATATGCTGATATGCATTTAATGTACGGGCGGGCTCTTTGTAATGCTTCGGCAGCAAGAAGATTTTATCAGCATTCTTATCCTAATAGAAGGATTCCGGATCGCAAAACTTTCGAACGTATTGATCAAAGATTAAGAGAAACTGGTAAAATACGATTACTATTATTAAACAAAATGGATATTAAATAAATTTTAATGTCTTTAGGTCAGTTTGCTCCTGTTACTGCAAACAGGGGTGCCCCGCGAACAGCACGTACAGTTGAAGTAGAGGAAAATATACTGGACGAAGTTGCTGCTCATCCAACAGTTAGCATTAGGTCATTATCTTCTTTTACCAATGTTCCAAAGACCACTGTTGCAAGAATCCTTAGAGAACAGCTTCTTCACCCTTACCATATCCAAAAAGTGCATGCTCTTAATCCTGATGATTTTCGTGCAAGAGTACAGTTTTCTCAATGGTTTCTTCAGAGACATGAGCAAAATCCTATGTTTACGAGATTAATTCTGTATACTGACGAAGCAAGTTTTGGGAGGAATGGAGTTATTAACTCCCATAATTTACATTATTGGTCTGATGAGAACCCACACGCTATTATTGAAACTAGGCACCAAAGACAATTTTATGTTAATGTTTGGAGTGGAATTATTGGTCCTTACTTATTGGGTCCATTTGTGTTACCCCCTAGACTGAATGGTCAACGTTACCTAGATTTCCTTGTGCATCAATTACCACAACTGTTAGAAGATGTTGATCTTGAAACCAGAAATGCACTGATATTCATGCACGATGGGGCGCCGCCTCACTTTAGTGCTGCAGTAAGGGACCATTTAAACGAGGTATATCCTAATCGCTGGATAGGTCGCGGTGGACCTATTCATTGGCCTGCCCGAACTCCAGATATGAACCCACTTGACTTTTTCTTTTGGGGGCACTTGAAAAATCTTGTTTATTCCACACCTGTAACCACTAGAGAAGAATTAGAAGAAAGGATTTTTTATTGTGCAAATGAAATACGACAAAATCCTGAAATGTTATGGAGAGTGCAACAGTCTTCTGTTAAACGAGCTCGTATTTGTATAAGAGAAGGTGGAACTAATATTGAGAATTTATTATGAATTATATTAGTTACAAAATTTTGATTGTCATGCACTTTTCGTTTAGTTAGTTTAGTTAAGTCCAAATTCTCATAATTTGGAACACTGCTATTGCAAATTATTTGTCCTTTATTCTGATATGTAAAAGCCAACTACGATTAAACCTGTGTTTCTGTTAAATAAAATGTCTCAAATTAAATGGTACCTTCCTCTTTAAACGGGTTTATCTAAAAAATATCTATTTTATGGATATTCAACAAGTATACCTTTTTTACGTAAAAACCATAAATTTTTATAAAATGATGGAAAATTTGGGGTACAGTGGAACAAAAATTTTTCTTCTAGAAATTTTGGTGGGGGGTGCTTTGCCCCCGGGCCCCCATAATTATTATCAAGGATTTCATATTATCATCCAAAGCAGCTTTAAAAATTATAGAACCAGCCAAAAAATTTTCAAAATTTATTGAAAAATACAAAAGTTACAGCAAAAAAAACATTTTTAATTCTCAACTTCAAGAGCTAATAACTCTACAGGGTGAGCCCGGAGGAAAAAATTTTATATGAACTTGTGACATTATTTTCTCATTATCTATCTATATCCGAGAGATTGCCCACCATTTCCGGGACACCCTGTATATTTATGTATATTTATTCTGGAACAAAATCTTGAAAAAAATTTTGAATTTCATAATTGTTTAAAGTTACCTCACATTGAATCGACTTTAAAACATAAGGCAAATGAATTTTCGGAAACAAAAACACTTAAACACTTACAAACTTAATTTTGTGTACTTGGTGGTACAGATTCTGGGATAGACCTCTTCTGGAAAAAGTCTGTCATTGTTTTTTGAATTTGATGGTTTTTCAATTCATTTAAAAGTTCTTTTATGGTGGAAAGAGGTTATCCAATCCTCTGCTAATAATCATACTCCTCTGCAAATATCTGGATCTATCTCAATGATTTCGACGTTTTAAACTGTCTATAATACTCCTTCTACACTTTTTGTTCTTCTTCCTTTTCTGAACTCGAAACGAAGTGTTCTCGAATTAGTTCTTCAATTTCTGTATAAGTGAGACCGTCGTCTTCATTTCGGATCAATTCTTCCACATTTTTGTCCTCTATATTTTCGAAACCTTCCCTGCCCACTTGTCTACTTATTTCTACAATTTTTTCAATGTCTCTCTGTGAATCTGGTTCTACTGCAATTTCCTGAACACACTGAGGCCATAGCTTCTTCAGCAAGCATTAATGGTTGACAATTTTACCTCCGCCCAGGAGGCAGCAATATTTTCTATTGCATTTGAAATAGTAAATTGGTTCCAGCATTCTTTAACAGATATTTCTGGATTTTCTTCCAAACGGTGCAAAATATGAGAAAAACTACGTCTGGTATAGTAAGCCTTAAACGTTGCAATCGTCAACCAAGCACTTTAAAAGCTGCCCATACATATGCACTGCTTTGGGCCTTATTATCGAGAAAGCAATAAATATGTAACTTCAAGTGTGTTTATGTTATCCTAGAAAATTGATGAATTGAGACAAGGCTAAGGATTTGCTATGTATCGAGTTCTTGCATATGTACACTTATGATTATTTATGGTTTCTCATAATCGGGTTTTCACCTGTAGAATTATGTGTAAAATTCGGACCGCGAACGACAAAGCAAACGTCCCGCGAACGGCAAAGAAGAGGTGACATCGATGGCTACCGCGTAAATTTAAATCCGCGAACCACAAATTCGCGAAAAGCAAGGTTTTACTGTACTACACTTACCTCTACCCAAATTTGCTTCGTTAGTCGATAGAGAGCATCAAATTTGACAAATAATAGTTTTTTCAAATAATTGTATTAACAGAACTGTGAAAAATACCCCCTCCCCCCCTTGAACTAATCTGTTGATAATGTTGAGTGGGTATGAGATAAAATATACAAAGTATCTATATCTATATCTTAATTTTATTTTACTAGAAATTGTAGGTGTAAATCAATGCTGGACGGAAGCTGTAGCTCGCAGAGTAGTTACTTCCCCAAGTCGTTACTTAAAAACAGTACCTTTTTTATTGCAAACGATATTTCAAGTTTTTTCTCTTTCGTGTGTTTTTCTGTATTTGTAACAGTTTTTCGAGGTTTCATCAATGCATATTCGGTGTAAATCAGAGTTAATGTATAATGAATGGTAATCAATAGGAAATTATGCTTTGTGGAGTTCAGAAATTTATAGTTAAATGTTCTAACTAACCTAATTCCTGTCATACAAATTACTGGTTTTCCCTTGTAATATACAAAAATATTATACGACATACCTGTTTAGTAATGACGTCACATACGTCAAATAATAGGCAACCCTATAGTGCACATTGTCATGAAGAATTTCTCAATGTAGTATTGCATTGCCCATACCGCTATTTTATGTAAGACCGCTATTTACACGGAAAGTCACATTCGGATCGTGAATTGACACTGGCCAGGCACTTCTGCTCTGGTTACATAACTGCAAGATATCAGAGTCGATGTTCGATCTCACTTCATAGAGGCTGTGCCTCGGTCTAGAATTTCATGGTTCGTTAATTATTGAACGTTCCCTCAGAGTTGTGGGTGTCGCTCTGCCAATAACATTGGGCTCTTCAGATATCATCTGCTGCGGGTTGGGGTTTCATCATGTTTATTTATTATATGTACGGTCGTTTGTAAATTTATATTTACCCAACGAAAAGCTAAACAAACAAGCTATAAATAATGTTAATAAAGTAAATAGTAATACATTCTCTTTGTTAAATAATTTTAAAAA